CCCAGATGGTTAAAGGCAGCTATCTTAACAGAAATAACAACATAACAGAGTTGGAAGGGACCTCGGAGGTCTTCTAGTCCAACCCCCTCGAGGAGACCCTCTACAGTTCAGACAAATGGCTGTTCGACCTCTTCTTAAAGACCTCCAGTGATGGAGCACCCATAACTTCTGGAGGCAAGTCCTTCCACTGTTCTCGCCATCAGGAAGGACCTTAGGATGGTCTTAGAAGCTTCTAGAAGAACTTCAACTCCCAGAATTCTGGGAGTTGAAGTCCTCCAGGCTTAAAGTTGCCAAGGTTGGAGAGCCCTGCTCTAGAGTTTATAGAATTGACGGTGGGAGACTTGTGCTCCATGTAACCTGGCCCAGTTCTCACCAAGCTCTTTCAGGTCCAGCAGGACATTGAAGCCAGCTAAGATCAAAGAAGATGAGAAGGTTGGTTGTGTGAAGTCAGCTGACTTCTTGAAGAACCGCAGCTGCAGCTAAATTACAGGTCTTCGTGGGATTTCTGTGAGTCACTCACACACACACACGCACGTGGAGAGCAAATACACTTCTTAAGCTGGGGAAGGCTGTGATCTTCATTAGGGGGACAGAAAAGAGGACCGTCCTTGCAAGATATATAAAACCAAGATGAAGGTGGAAGGACAAGCACCCATAGTCTACTTGGTAGAACTCCAGTAGGAAGTTGGCTATTGTCGGTCCTTTGTAATGACCAAGGACCAGAAAGAGACATGGCTAAAGCAGAGGAAGAACGGTTGCAGGAATGAGATATGTCTAAGTTTAATGAAAAGGACTAGGAGGGACATGATAGCAGTGTTCCAGTATTTGAGGGGTTGCCACAAAGAAAAGGGGGTCACTTTATTCTCCAAAGCACCAAAGAAGGCAGGAGAAGAAGCAACGGATGGAAACTCATCAAGGAGAGAAGCAACCTAGAACTGAGGAGGAATTTCCCGACAGTGAGGACAGAATAACAGAGTTGGAAGGGACCCTGGAGGTCTTCTAGTCCAACCCCCTGCTCAAGCAGGAGACCCTATACCATTCTGGAGAAATGGCTGTCCAATCTCTCCTTAAAAACTTCCAAAGATGAAGCCGCCACAACTTCTGGAAGCAAGTAGTTCCACTGGTTAATTGTCCTCACTGTCAGGAAATTCCTCCTTAATTCTAGATTGCTTCTCTCCTTGATTAACAGAATAAGAGAGTTGGAAGGGACCTTGGAGGTCTTCTAGTCCAACCCCTTTCCCAAGGCAGGAGTCCTTATGCCAGTGGTGACAAACCTTTTACTGAGTGCCAAACAGGTATGTGCTTCATGCGCTTTGCTCCTCCCTTATGTGATGCGCACGCAACCACACCATCTGCGCATCTGCAGAGCTTTCATGCGCCCGCTGCACTGAGCACTGTGCATGCAATGGTGCAGGTTTCATGCGGCTCCCCCATGCGCTGCATGCACAATTGCACCATCTGCCCATGTGCACGTTTTTTGTGTGTGCATTGCACACGCACGAACACCGTCTTATATGTAAACGCTGTGCACCATGCACAAACGCACGCACATGTGCAGGAGAGCTCCGAAGACCAGCAGGGTCCCCTGAATTACGCACCTGTGCACCGGAGGCCCAAACACCATCTGGGGCTCAGGCGCAGCTGCAGGTGAGTTGGCTGACAGCTCACGTGCCCAGAAAAATGCCTCTGTGTGCCACTTCGGGTACGCATGCCATAGGTTCGCCATCACGGCCTTATGCCATCCCAGACAAATGGCTGCCCAGTCTCTTCTTAAAAACCTCCAGTGATGAAACACCCACAACTTCTGGTGGCAAGCAGTTCCACTGGTTAATTGTTCTGTCAGGAAATTTCCCCTTAGTTCCAGGTTGCTTCTCTCCTTGATTAGTTCCCATCCGTTGCTTCTTGTCCTGCCCTCAGAGCCTTTGGAGAATAGGTTGACCCCCAACTCTTCTTTGTGGCAGCCCCTCAAATACTGGAAGGCTGCTATCATGTCCCCTCTAAATTCTTCTTCTCATTAAACTAGCCATACCCAACTCCTGCAACCATTCCTCCTAGGTTTTAGCCTCCAGCCCATTTGTCCTCTTGGTTGCTCTTGAAGGAGGAGGGTGTGAAATATTTTATTTATTTATTTATTTATTTATTTATTTATTTATTTATTTAGTTAGTTAGTTAGTTAGTTAGTTAGTTAGTTAGTTAGTTAGTTAGATAGTTTTTATTTATTGGTTCGATTTATATGCCGCCCTTCTCCGGAGACCCAGGGCGGCTTACAATGTGTTAAGCAATAGCCTTCATCCTTTTGTATATTTTATACAAAGTCAGCTTATTGCCCCCACAATCCGGGTCCTCATTTTACCTACCTCGAAAGGATGGAAGGCTGAGTCAACCTTGAGCCTGGTGAGATTTGAACTCGCAGTAATTGCAGGCAGCTAAGTGCTACTTAACAGCACTTTAGTCTGCTGCACCACCAGGGTGCTTTCATCTAGAACAGGGGTCAACAACCTTAAACACTCAAGAGAGCCACAAAAGTCCTAACCGGAAGGCCCCCCCTCCCCGGTTCAATTCTAGAGCTGACTGGAAGTCTGGTTCCCCTACCATAGTGTCTCCTCCTAGCATCCTTTTTCCTCTACCTGTCCTAACCGAAAGTCCTATCAATTGTGGAGCTGACCAGAAAACCTGCCCCTTGCCATAGAGTATCCTCCTAGCGCACCATGCTTCTCCCCCCCAACCAGAAGCTCCTCTCAAAATTGTGGCGCCAACCATCTGCGACCAGCAAGATTGGAAAAAATGTTTAGTAATATGTCTGCCAAATGTTGGAAATGTAATCAGGCCCCAGGTACTTACTATCATATGTGGTGGACTTGTATGAAAGAAAATATTTGAAGAAAATACACACGGTTGGAAAAGATGATTAAACACCAGTTAGATCTGAAACCCGAAATATTTTTGTTGGGTGTAATGCCGGAGGGTTATGATAAAGGGACCATCTATTTAGTTTTGCATGTACTGACAGCAGCAAGGATTTTATTTGCACAATATTGGAAAAATGAGAACACTCCCATCAGATGAGGATGCAATTCGGAAAATATTAAGACTCTGCAGAGATGGACAGACCGACTTTAAAAATAAAAGACAAAGAAGACACAGAATATTACTTGATATGGAATAGATTTTATGAGTGGTTAGAGGTAAGAGGTAGAAATTAGATGAAGAAAGATTGTTGCTATGTATGAATTAAATATAAAGATGGTTTATAATTATAAATATGTGAGAATTATAAATAAGCTAATATAAAATTCAGCCAAAACTATTCTGTTACATTATTATTATTGTTACCAGTATATGTGCTAATATTTCTTTTTGTTTTCTCTTTGTTTTTCTTTTGTAAATGATATACCCTGACAATACACTGTATGCAAAATGTTTATAAATAAATAAAAAAATAGAAATAGAAAGAACAAAGCAGGAATTGCAAGCAGGAGGGAGCAGGGACACCGGAAAAAAAAACCACCCATGAAGATGCGTTAAGATCTTCCGTGAAATGCTTCCCTTGCAGGCAAAAGGGGAAAGATATGCCTCCCAAGAGAGGAAGAAGAGAGATGAAGGCTGGGGCATCTCTTGGACTTAAAATTATTTTGAGTTAAGCAAACGGGAGGACTGTATGGGACAAATCTCACACTGCACGGAAGGAAGCTGTGAATGGCTTCTGTCCAGAAAACCACATGGAAAGGGAAAAAAAACAGGCAGTCCTCGGGTTACGACCACAATGGAGTCCAACATTTCTGCCATTGAGATGTTTGTTAAGCGAGGTTTGCTCCACCGTACGATCTTCTGCTGCCGTTTTTTAACTGAATTGCCGCAATTAAGAAGTTTAGTAGCTTGGTCATTAAGTGAATCTGCCTTTCCCCTTGACTTTGCTTGTCAGGAAGGTGGCAAAAGGGGGAATCACGTGACCCCAGGGGATGCTGCCACAGTCATAAATATGAGTCAGTTCCCGAGCATCTGAATTTTGATCACGTGACCGGGGGGGGGGGGGAAATGCTGCTATGGTTGTAAATATGGAAAATGGACCCTTTTTTTTGGTGTGGTCGTAACTTTGAATGGTCACTAAATGAACTGTTGTAAGACGAGGACTTCCTGTAGAAGCACAACTCGGAAGAGTTGTTCTAGCACTGGGATGGTTGAAAATAGACCGAAGGCATGGAATTTACGAGTAGCCCGACCACAATGCCGCCCAAAAGTTCTGTTGCTAAGCGAGACCGTCGTTCAGTGGATTTTGCCCCGTTTTACAACCTGCCTTGGCACAGTTGTTAAGCGAATCGCTGCGGTTGTTAAGTCGGTAACGCAGTTGTTAAGTGAAGCTCTGGTGGCTCAGCAGACTAAAGCACTGTTATTTACACGCACTTACATCTGCTGCTTGCAATTACTGCGAGTTCAATTCTCACCAGGCTCAAGGTTGATTCAGCCTTCCATCCTTTCTAAGGTAGGTAAATTGAGGACCCAGTTTGTGGGGGCAATAAGCTGACTTTGTATAAATATACAAAAAGTATGAAGGCTATTGCTTAGCACATTGTAAGCCGCCGTGAGTCTCCGGAGAAGGGCGGCATATAAATCAAATTAAAATAAAAAAAGAATAAATAAAAATCCGGCTTCTCCATTGACTCGGCTTGTCAGAAGGTCACATGACCCAGGGACTCTGCAACCGTCGTAAGTACATGCCAGTTGCCAACCCTCTGAATTTGGATCACATGACGGTGGGGGATGCTGCGACAGTCGTTAAGGGCGAAAAATGGAGCCAAGTCACTTTTTTTCAGTGCCGTTCTAACCAGAAACGGTCCCTAAATGAACTGTTTGTAAGTCGAGGACTACCTGTAGAGAGCATTTCCTCCCCCAAATCCTCAATCTGCACCCCCCCAAGGAAAACCCCAATCTGCCCGTCCCCTCCAGTTCCCCCCATCGACCTTCCCCCCCCCCCAAATAAAATGACCATCTCAAACACGAGGAACATTTAATGTGGCTTTTATAACGTGGTTTATTTACACTGGCATTGACAAGAGAGTGGTTGTTATTATTTTTTTGTCAAATTAATACTTCTTACAAGTCATGAACAACCTGTAGATACAGTGGTTGAAGTGACACAAATAAAATAACTTTGAAATCTAGGACTCTTGAAGTCAAGTCAAGCCCCCCTCTTTTCTTTCCTTTCTCTCCCCCGCCCCCACTTCCCTCGCGGGGGTCTGACTGCATCCCATCCCCCCTTTCTGTGTGTGTGGGGGGCAGAAATAGTGTGAGGATTCTCCATCCATAGCAGGTTGCAATCAAGCTTTTTCCCATACAAAAAAAAAAACAATTTAATTAAAAAAAATGCAAAGAAAACTGTGGTTCTGAGGCACCCCGATTTTCCCCAAAGAAAGACAATAATGATACAAAAAAAAAAAAAAAAGAACTGATGTAAAAAGATTCTAGGATGTTACAAAAACAACAACAACAACATACATACAACACAACATCTCTACTTACAAAACTTTTTTAAACTTCCTGATGACGAGCGAAGGCAAAACTGGTAAAAGGACCGATCTGCGGTGGGTTAGGCAATGGGAGGCCAGCACTGCAAGGCTGGCGGCGGGAGGAAGACCGAGGAAGAAGAAGGCAGAGGAGGAACTGGGATTCAGACAGACTGGAGGAGCGGAAGGCAAAAAAGAGCGAAGGCTGGACAGGAAAGGTTGACGCCACATTTTTCAAAGCCCGCAAAGGGATTTTCATTCACAAAAGTCCTTGAGGTTTGCAAAGCACCTGCGTTTGGAAATTCACCTTCCTGAAGGTTGAATCGAGGTGGAGGAAGAGGAAGAGGAAGGGAAGGAGTTGGGAGCGGAAGGGAGGGAGGGAAGGATGGGAAATAGGCGTGGATGGAAGGAAGAAAATAGGAGGGGAAGGGAAAGAAAGGAAAGGAAAGGGGAACAGGGAGAGAGGAAGGAAGGAGGGAGGAAGGATGGAAGGGAGAGATAGAGGGAGAAAAGAAGGGAGGCAGGAAGGGAGGGATAGAAAGGAAAGGAGAGAGAGGAGTAGGGAGGAAGAAAGAAGGGAAAGGAGGAATGGTAGGAGGCCGGAAGGAAGGGAGGGATAGATAGAGGAAAGGAGGGAGAGAGGGAGGGAAGAAGGAATGAGGGAGGGAGGGGGAAAAAAGAGGGAGGAAAGAGGAAGGGAGAGATAGAGGGAGAAAAGAAGGGAGGCAGGAATAGAAAGGAAAGGAGAGAGAGGAGTAGGGAGGAAGAAAGAAGGGAAGGAGGAATGGTAGGAGGCCGGAAGGAAGGAGGGATAGATAGAGGAAAGGAGGGAGAGAGGGAGGGAAGAAGGAATGGGGTAGGGAGGGGAAAAAAAGAGGGAGGAAGGAGGAAGGGAAAGGAAGGATGGTGGAAAAAAGGGAGGGAGGGAGGAAGAAAGAAAGGAGGACAGAGAGAAGAAAGAAGTGAGAGAGGAAGGAAGGAAAGACTGATAAAACAGCCTCAAAGACCCCCTACATTGAAATGATCAAGAGAAGCCAAGGGGGGTGGGGTGGTGAGCTGCTAAGGGATCTCCTGGCTTCAAAGAAAGATCTGGCAAGCTGTGGATCGGGGCCGTTCCCAACAGAAGGAAAGACACCCCCCCCCCATTTCCCAAGCGACCCTCCTAGAGGGCCCCTCCTCCTCATCACCCCACCCAGGAAATACAACGTGACCTTAAAATTCTGAACATATAACCGCCCTTCAACTCAGAAAGGGGGCCACGGCTTGAGGGGCAGAGCTGACCGCGTGGCTCTCCCAGCTGGACTTTGCACTAGCGCGAGCAAAGAAGCCACAATCGTGGTTTCTCCTCCAGACCCCCTGGGGGATTCTGGGCCAGTGGGAGAAGCCCCCCCCCCCAACCTGCATGACCGACTTAAACTTCCTCCCAGGGGATTCCAACTATCTCGGATTAGCATCTCGCTTCCCAGCACTTAGGTGCCTATTGCTACTAGAGGCTGTTGCTACTACGTGGTGTGGCTACTACACCTATGTGGGTATTGCAGCTAGGGTGAAAAAACAAGGACAGATAAACAGAGCATCCATTTCTCTGGTGCAAAGCAACAATCCATAAAGATTGTGAGAATCAAACGCAAAGACATGGTTTTCCAGCAACTCGGCTTCCGATAAATTCAACGGTCATCTCCTTAATGCACAGAAGGGACCATCCTATCCATGTGGCTGCAACGGAAGGGACCAGGGTGCTGCTGAATCACCAATGTCCACCACATCCCGCCTGCCTTATCTGGAAAGTTCTCGTCTTCCGATTTGAAAATTCAAAAGCAAAGCATTGGCCAATCGGTGACTTTGTTTTTAAACTCTGACAACTTTAAGACTTGTGGACTTCAACTCCCGGAGTTGAACAACTTCCCCTCCGTCTCTTCCTTTCCTTCCTTGCTTCCAGAATTCCAGGACACGAATGCACATCTTTTTGATGTGTATCCCCACTTTGGCCTGTTTAACTCTCTTATAATCCCTTTCTCTGCGGTCTCTCCACACTAGGAGGCGTAAGAAAAGACCTAGGCATGGCTGGCGGAAGAATTCTGGGAGTGGGAAGTCAACGAGTCTTGAAGTTGCCAAGATCGGACCCCGCACCCTGCTCTGAAGTGAGGATCCCAAAGCACCAGACACCGATTGATTCAGCAAGAGATCCACGCAAATATTCTAGGAAAGGCCAGGCCACAACTTGTGGCTGAAAACAACAAAAAATAAGACGCACTCAAGTCGGCTAAAGAGTTGCTTAACTCCCAAAAATATGGAAAGCCGTAATTTGCCAGACAAAGGATCCATTTTTGGGGGTGGGGGGGTGCCTTCCTTACTCTTAACTGTAAAAGCCACCCAGCCCTCACACCCGCCCGCATTCGCACCCCCCCCCCCCCGAGCTGTGATTGATTAAAACAACAACAACACAACGACCAGCTTTTTAAGCCAAAGCACAGAAACTGCTTGAAGGTCAAAAGCTGCGGGGAGTTTGTGGCAGGCCGCTCGGCTCCCCTCCCGCCGATTCGGGGAAGAGGGGTCGGAACAGAAATCAGAGCAGTGGGGAGACCCTCGGGGTGGGGAGGGTCCTGGGGCTGGCCGGAGCGCAGGGGAGGTGGGGGGTGGGCTTCACTCCCCTTCCTCCTTGATGCGCTGCTGCTTGTTCCGACGCGCATCCAAGTCGAAGTTGAAGTCGTTCCAGTCGTCGCGGGGAGGGAAGGAGATTGTCTGGCGGAGAGTGAAGCGCACGGCGTCGATCACCCGCTCGCCCCGGGCCTCGCTGGAGCCCACGCTGACCGTGGAGGCGCCGCTGGGCGTGCGCAGGAGGTGCGGAGGGGAGGAGAAGTCGTGCAGCTGCCGGTAGTCCAGGAGGCCCTTCCAGATGGCGTGGCGGAACTGCTCGGGGATCTTCAGGCTCACCAGATCCTGGAGAAGAGAGAGAGAGAGAGAGAGAGAGAGAGAGAGAGAGAGAGAGAGTGAGCACCAGGAGAGGCTGGCCACCTCTCTCTTTCTTCCTTCCTCAATTTTCTTCTTTCTTTCCAACCCTTCTCACTTCCTTTCTTCCTTCCTCAATTTTTGTATTTCTTCCTTCAATTTTTGTCTTCTTTCTTTCCTTCTTTCTTTCTTCCTTTCCTTCCTTCCTTCCTACCCTTCTCATTCTTATTCCTTCCTTCCTTTCTCAATTTTTGTCTTCCTTCCTTTCTACCCACATTCTCCTCATTCCTTCCTTCCTTTCTCAATTTTTGTATTCTTTCTTTCTTCCTTCCTTCCTTCTTTCTTCTTCCTTCCTTTTTCTTTTTTCTTTCTTTCTTTTCCTTCCTTCCTTCCTCAATTTTGTCTTTTTTCCTTCCTTTCTTCCTTTTCTTCCTTCCTTCCTTCCTTCCTTCCTCAATTTTTGTATTCCTTCCTTCAATTTTTGTCTTCTTTCCTTCCTTTCTTTCTTTCTTTCTTTCTTTCTTTCTTTCTTTCTTTCTTTCTTTCTTTCTTTCTTTCCTTCTTTCTTTCTCCTTTCCTTCCTTCCTTCCTACCCTTCTCATTCTTATTCCTTCCTTCCTTTCTCAATTTTTGTCTTCCTTCCTTTCTACCCACATTCTCCTCATTCCTTCCTTCTTTCTCAATTTTTGTATTCTTTCTTTCTTTCTTCCTTCCTTCTTTCTTCTTCCTTCCTTTTCTTTTTTCTTTCTTTCTTTCTTTTCCTTCCTTCCTTCCTCAATTTTTGTCTTTTCTTTCCTTTCTTCCTTTTCTTCCTTCCTTCCTTCCTCAATTTTTGTATTCCTTCCTTCCTTTCTCAATTTTTGTCTTCCTTCCTTTCTACCCACATTCTCCTCATTCATTCATTCCTTTCTCAATTTTGTATTCTTTCTTTCTTCCTTCCTTTTTCTTTTTTCTTCTCTCTCTCTCTCTTTCTTTCTTTTCCTTCCTTCCTTCCTCAATTTGTGTCTTCCTCCCTTCTTACCTCCCTCCCTCCCTTCCTGACTGCATTGCTTTCGGCAACAGCCTGAATACAGATAGTCCTCAACAGTCCACTTAGCAACCGTTCAAAGTTACAGCAGCACTAAAAAAGTGACTCCTGACAGGTTCTCCAACTTATGACCCCCATGGTCATAATCCCCCCGGGGTCAAGTGATAAAATTCAGCCCCTTGGCAACTGACTTGTATTTATGACGGTTGCAGCTCCATGATCCCCTTTTGTGACCGTCTGATCAGCAAATTCAATGAGGGAAGCCAGATTCACATAACTTCACAACTGCCGGGGCTTCCCTCCCACTGATGTCCAGCCCCAAGCAAAAGAGGGCCAGCCAGAGGCAGCGAGGAAGCGCAGAGACCCCCAGGCTGAACCCCAAAAGACCCCCACAGCAGCAGAGCACCCAGCCAAGCCAGCAATTCCAAGGGGACGGTTGCAGGGGGACGGAAAGGGTGGGTGGGCGCGGGATGCCAATCTCTCACTGTGGCACCAGGCACTTCCTGTGTCCCTGCTAAACTCCATGTTTAGACCCACATCTTGTCACACACCCTACAACTACACGCAGCGGCTCAGGAGGAGAAGCGAGAGGTTTTCCACTAACTAACGATCCTCAGATAAATCTTCTCCACCAGCTGCCAGGTCTCCCCTCTGGAGGGCATCAGCAATGCTGGCCGGGCTCGGCCACCCCCCGCCCCATTTTGCCCCTCCCCTCCCCCCGCCTGGGAAGCGAAAGGGAGAGTCGGTTACTTACATCCATGGAGTAGTGTTCAATCTGATAGATGGTGGTCAGGCCTTGCGCAGTGAAATAATCCACACAGGACGAGCAGCCCAGCCTCGCTAAGAAACTGCAAGGGGGGGGGAAGGACGACGAGGGTGGGCGAGAGAGGAAGAGGAGGAGGAGGAAGAGAAAGAGAGAAGGAGAAATTGAGATGAGGAGGTCACCCAGACCGCAGAGCCCCGACATGGCAAGATCCGCACCCGGCACACAATAAAAGGAGGATATTTCTAGCTCGGGGGGTCCCCGGGTATTCTCTGAGCTACGTTTCAAGAGCCAAGTAGGTAACTTCACCAGTGCTAGAAGGGAGGAGGAGGAGGAGGAAGAAGAGGAGGAGGAAGAATTAGAGGAGAAAGAGGAGGAGGAGAGGAAGAGGAGGAAGAAGAGGAGGAGGAAGAAGAGGAGGAGGAGAAAGAGGGGGAGGAGAGGAGGAGGAAGGGGAGGAGGAGAAGAGGAGGAGGAGGAAGAAGAAGAGGAGGAAGAAGAAGAAGAGGAGGAGGAGGAGGAGAAAGAGGGGGAGGAGAGGAGGAGGAGGAAGAGGAGGAGGAGAGGAAGAGGAGGAAGAAGAGGAGGAGGAAGAAAGAGGAGGAGAAAGAGGAGGAGAGAGGAGAAGAAAGAGGAGGAAGAAGAATTAGAGGAGAAAGAGAGGAGGAGAGGAAGAGGAGGAAGAAGAGGAGGAGGAAGAAGAGGAGGAGGAGAAAGAGGGGGAGGAGAGGAGAGGAGAGGAGGAGGAGAGGAGGAGAAGAAGAAGAGGAGAAGAAAAGAAGAAGGAGAAGGAGAAGGAGGAGAAAGAGGGGGAAGAGGAGGAGGAGGAGGAGAAAGAGGGGGAGGAGAGGAGGAGGAGGAAGAAGAAGAGGAGGAGGAAGAGGAAGAAGAGGAGGAGGAAGAGGAAGAAGAGGAGGAAGAGGGGGAAGAGGAGGAAGAGGAGCAGGAAGAAGAGGAGGGCAAGAGGGGGAGAAGAAGAGGAGAAGGAGGAGGAGGAAGAGGAAGAAGAGGAGGAGGAGCACTGTGGGGTCCTTATTTTTTTCTGAACTTGGTGGTTTTCTTGTGGACGTTTCATGACCCAACTAGGCAACTTCATCAATGCTAGCGATTACGTGAAATGCATTGATGATTATTACCTGGTTTGGGTCATGAAACTGTAAGAAAACCACCAAGCTCGGAGACCACCAAGGACCCCACAGTCGTCCTCCTCTTCCTCCTCTCCACAACCTCTCCTCCCTTCTAGAACTGATGATGTTACCTAGCTGGGTCATGAAACGACTGCAAGCAAACATCCAGGCTCGGAGAGCTGGGGAGGGACAGGAGTGGGGTCCTTCCTGTTGACAGGAAAACTGAAGGAGATCCAGCAAGGGGGTGGGGTGGGGGGCAGAGGCTCTCCCCAAGAAAGCCCCACTCCAGAGATTGTGGAATCCACAGACAAAGTGGGGGCCATTTGAGGTTGGAGGCCGTCCCCACAAGTCTAGCATGTCAGGTGACTCTCGGTGCAGAACGCGGTGCGTATGGGGGAAATAACTTTGGATGGGCTGCCCGGACGAGTCGTTTTGCCGGACCCCACAAAGTCTGCCTTCCCAAGCGCCAAGCAGCACCGAAGCGAGGCCACAGCCTGCCCGCCTACCAAACCAGCCGAACCAAACCCCGGATGCAGAAAACGGGAACAGCCGAAGCACAATCACCGCTTTTTAAGAAGAGACGCGAGGGCAGAAAGTTAAAAATAGAGACCCTAACCACCCAGAGGAGGGGGGGGGGGAGAGGGTCTAGGATAACTCATCCCGGCCACTTTAGAATCAGTTTAGAATAGAGCTGGAAGGGACCTTGGAGGTCTTCTAGTCCAGCCCTCCTGCAAGTTGCCGTGGCACAATTCAGCGTTGCGTTAATTGATTCATTCGATTACGTTTTACTATTGGTGACCAGGTTTGTTTCGAAATTATTTTAATTCCTGTATTTCTGGATTAGACTTTATTTTATTATTATTATTATTATCGGCCACGGTTCCATCGGAATTAATTTGACTTTTGCATTTGCTGAATTGTCCCGCGGCGAGTTGGCCATGGTGAGTAGTTCCATTCCGAGGGGGAGAACGGCCATCCCTGGCTAAAGGGTCATCTAAAGCCAGCCCCCTGGCCACAGAGGCTCTGCCCTTGGCAAGTGGGAAAATCCTTGTATCTAGAGGAAGCCCGCCGAGCGAGTCTTGAGCACGAGAAGTTAATCCGTGTCCGGAGTCCTGTGGGACGAGACCATCTCCGAAGTCTCGAACCCGAGCCAGTTCGAGACCAAATCCCTTAAATGGGACATTGAAGCTTATCGGCAACTGACCAGCCCAGGTGCTTCTGAGACCTCAGCAGCCCTTTGGACACCCTGGGTGGCTAAGGTGCTATCTCCAAGGGCAGCCCCACAGACAGAGGATTGCAGCAGTCAATCTGAGAGTTCACTAGCCCAACTCCGCCAAGCAAGATCCTTTTTCCCTCTTGGCACCAGGCAAGCAGGGCAGTTCAGGCCCAAAGTTATTGCGAGTCTGAAGGGTGTGTTGACAAAAGTCAAGAGGGCAGCTGTACCTAAACCCCAGGCCAAGCTTGGAGGTCACTTTTGTGAGGTTTTTTTGACGCATTCTGTGGACCGCTGCTCCCCAACCAGGTGAGCAGGTCCGTCCCGTTCCGTTGCACACCTATTGTGCAAACAATAATGCTTAGGAGATGCACAGACAGAGAGCTTGCCCCTGCAAAAGTGAGGGAAACAGGCAGGTTGCTAAGCCAGCGCAAGAAGTTGCTTCCGCCCAGGGCGCAGAATTTGAACTCTGACCACGCTGGAACCGAACTCCCCTCCCCTCTCCAGCCCAGTCTCCTGCTCGCTCACTCACCTGACGATGCTGCAGTCTGTGGGGTAGGGCGGAGGTGGGGTGCAGTGGGAGGTGGACGGCATGGAGAGGGGAGGGGCCAGCGTCTGGGTGGGGCTGAGCCCGTTCATGTCGCCCGCCATCGTCATGTGGCCTCCCATCATCGGAACTGAGCGGAAGAAGGGAAGAAACGGCACGTCAAAGACAAGCTGGGGGATTCTGGGAGTTGAAGTCCACCCCTCTTCAAGTGGCCAAGTGTGAGAAAGACTGCATGTCTAATGTCACAGATTCCCGTGTCTGATTTTGGAATTATGGCTGTAAATCATTGCGGTCATAAGTTAAGGTACCCTGTGACTGGAGCTGACTTTTTTTTTTTTTGCAGAAATCCATTTTCCCCAATGGGCATATTTGCTGGCCCAAGCATTGCAAATCATGTCCATGTTTGCAAAAGGCCGTAAAATTGAGTCAAGCACCCATATACAATTCTCCCTCTCTCTCTCCCGCCCCCCCCCCCCCCCTCTCTCTCTCTGTGTGTGTGTGTGTGTGTGTGTGTGTGTGGCCGCCATAACTTCAAAAACTCACCACCCTTGGAAGCAACAAACTTTACGTGCTTATATAAACCTTGCTCTGAATTGTGGTGGGTGGTCTAATTTGCAAAACCGGGGTCCCCCACTCAGAATTTGCAGACCCAGCCTTAGGAGGGACAGCCGACTGGGTGACTTTGGGCCGGTCCCCCCCCCTCTCTGTCTCTGTCTCTCTCTCTCAGCCCGACCCACCTCGCAGGATTGTCGTTGTGAGGAAACCAAGATGGGGGAAGGTGTGTCGGATACAGGGTGGATAAAAATCAATGATTTTTTTTAAAAAATAAAAAAAATCAGATTTTTTTTTATTTAAATCGGATTTTTTTTAAATTTAAATCGGATTTTTTTTATTTTTATCGAATTTATTTTAATAAAAAACTTTTGGGGTAAAAATCTATCGTAAGATAATTTTCTGTTTAAGATACATAAATAATTTAGTTTATTCAGCATGAAATGGAGCTGAGTTATGTAGCAGGAGGCTGTATATTCTGCAGCACTGGGACTATCGGAGAGTCAACAGTCAACAGTTGCTCTTTAAAAATTAGGATTTAAATCGAGTTGGTTTAAATCAAGCCTTTTTACTAGTGATTTAAATCATGATTTAAATTGTGATTTCAATCAACTCGATTTAAATCAAATCCACCCTGGTCGGATATGTCTGTCCCCTTGAGGGACGGATGAAGAGAAGAAAGGAAAGTGAGATCGGAGTAGAAAGTCGAGAGAGTCCTTACTGTTGGCTCCCATGCTGTCAGGGATGCTGGTGGGGGTCAGGCTGTTGCGTTGTTGGGGGTTGATGAGTTGACTGACGGATGGCAGCTTGTTCATGCCGCTCATCTTGCCGAGCGGGGGGGAACTGGAGCCGTAGGAAGGCTGAGCCTGCAGGGAGTTTCTGGGAAGAGAGGGAGAGAAAGTTAAAGGGATGCTAGAAAGGAAAAAAATGGGCGAATTGGTGCCGAGGGGAGCCCAGCTGCAGAACTAGGGATGGAAGGAGAGCGGGGTTTTCACCCCCCCTCCCCCCATGGAGGTTTAATCCAGGCTTAATCCAGAAAATGCCCTTGGGCCAGGGAATAGGCAACCAGCACACCCGTCATCCAGCTAGCACTGATGAAGTTACTTAGTTGGGCAATGAACGTCTGTCTGCAAAGAAACAATCTCGCTGTACATAATAAAACAGGAAGCAACCTAGCACTGAGGATATTGCCTAGCTGGGTCATGAAACGTCTGGAAGAAAAACCACCAAGCTCAGAAACCACCAAGGATCCCACGCTCCTCCTCCCTGCAAATCCCTCTCCCTTCTACCACTGATGATGTTACCCAGCAGGGTCATGAAACGTGTGCAAGAAAACCACCAAGTTCAGAGAGCACCAAGGACCTCAGTTCTCTTCCTCCTCCTCCTCCCTACAGAACCCCATCCCCTTCTAACACTGATGGTATTATCTAGTCAGGTCATGAAACGTCTGCAAGGAAACCACCAAACTCAGAGAGCACCAAGGATCCCAGAGTTCTCCTCCTTCTCCTCCTCCCTTCTAGCACTGATAATGTTACCTAATTGGGTCTTGAAACATCTGCAAGAAAACCACCAAGCTCAGAGAACACCAAGGACTCCTTCACTTTGGATAAAGATATACAAAAAGGCTTTGATCCAGTTTCAAACCAAAGAGATTTTCTCACGGCTGGAGAACTAATAAGAGTGGATTTCCATCTGTTTCTCCAAAGTTTAAGTCTGCATAAAATGTGCTAGTCGTTCCTGCCTCTAGGGGGCGGTGCTCGTCTCCGTTTCAAAGCCGAAGAGCCAGCGCTGTCCGAAGACGTCTCCGTGGTCATGTGGCCGGCATGACTCAACGCCAAAGGCCCACGGAACGCTCTTCCCTTCCCACCAAAGGTGGTTCCTATTTTTCTACTTGCATTTTTTTTTACGTGGTTTCGAACTGCTAGGTTGGCAGAAGCTGGGACAAGTCACGGGAGCTCACCCCCTTATGCAGCAGTACTAGGGATTCGAACCACTGAATTGCCGACCTTTCGATTGACAAGCTCAGTGTCTTAGCCACTGAGCCACCGCGTCCCTTAAGTCTGAATATCTGTACCATATCTGACTCAAAGGGGAAGTGACAAATCCTTTTTTTTTTCCTACGAAGAGTGAGGGAGATTGGGTGGATGGATTACACTAAATGGAAAACCACTTTTTTTTTTTAAATTTGATTTCTATGCCGCCCTTCTCCGGAGACTCAGGGCGGCTTACAATGCGCTAAGCAATAGCCTTCATCCTTTTGTACATTTATACAAAGTCAGCTTATTGCCCCCACAAACTGGGTCCTCATTTCACCTACCTTAGAAAGGATGGAAGGCTGAGTCGACCTTGAGCCTGGGGAGATTCGAATTTACAGTAATTGCAGGCAGCTGGTCTTAATCACAATGCTATCAGTCTGCTGTGCCACCAGGCTCTTCTACTTGGGACTTTGATAGATTAATTCTGGAGACCGAATCTATTATATTTCATTAGACCACACTTGATAAGAAATGGCATTAAGGAAACGAACATGGATATTTGATCCAGGATGAACTGTTTTTAAATTTTGGAAGGATTTGGGATAGAGAAGATGCCATGGTAAAGTTTCCAGAGTGGATTGCACTAACAGAGAGTTTTGAAACTTTTGATTTTCTTTTGTTTTAGTCTTACAATTCTTCCTGTTAACTTTTTTGTCACTAGTATAATATGCAGAAGACAGGTCAACAATTTGCAAATGGATTTATTAGTTTAAAATTTTTAGAGGGCCCTGTTTCGCAAGGGGTGGGAACCAATGTTGTAATAATCATTATTCAATTGTGTGTGTGTGTGTGTGTGTGTGTGATAATGTGTGTATATGTGGTGGTGTTTTTTTTAATGTACTTTTTTAAAAAAAATAAAGGACAATATTTGTAGCTCGGGGTTGACATGAGGGGTCCTTGGTGCTCGCTGAGCTGGCTTGTTTTCTTGCAAATGTTTCATTACCAAACTAGGTAACATCATCAGAGCCAGTAAGGAGTGCTGTTTGCTGTCAAGTTTATATTGTGATGGCTTGCCCTGTCAGTTTTGGTGGGGGTGGTCTTAGAGGTTCTTTGGGTGGGCTGTTGGCTCTTTGGCAGGTCCTTGATTGGGGTGTTGTTGACTTGATTGTTGGTCTGATGCAGTGGTGGGTTGCTCCTGGTTCGCACCGGTTCGCAAGAACCGGTAGTAAAAATTTATAGTAGTTTGGAGAACCGGTAATAACATTGGCTGGCCACGCCCCCAAACGGGTCCCCGGCCCCGTCGCCGCTCACTTACCCTGCCCACCTCATCAGAGGCTTTTTTAAAAAAAACTTTTAAAAGCATTTTTTCTACCTCTTCGGCCAAAAAAATGCTTTAAAAAGTTTTTTAAAAAAGCCTCTGATGATCGCGCAGCTCAGCTGGGATCGTCAGAGGCTTTTTAAAGCATTTTTTCTGCAACCTCTTCAGCCGAAAAAATGCTTTTAAAAGTAAAAAAAAAAAAAGAAGTTGGCCACGCCCACCCAGTCACATTACCCCCACCAAGCCACGCCCACAAAATAAGCCACGCCCACAGAACCGGTAGTAAAAAAATTTAGAACCCACCCCTGGTCTGATGTTAACCTTGGAATAAATCTACGGTGATCCGGGTGCTCATTATTGGTGGAGAAGTCTTTTCCCTCCCTCTTTTCGGCTGGATTGATTGTCTCTTTTGCATCGTCTATAGATGTTGTTAAAGTTTACCCTGTTTCCCCTAAAATAAGACACCCCCTGATAATAAGCCCAATCAGGCTTTTGAGCGCATGCGCTAAAATAAGCCCCTCCCCAAAAATAAGCCCTCCCCGAAAGTATTTAAACACATTTGCAGCCGGTCCCCACCATTTCCTCTGGTTAGGGTTAGGGAGACAGAGCTGGAAATCAGGTAAGACGTCAAGAGGAGCCCCGTCTTGCTCCACGCGCCCCAAAATAATAAGACCTCCCCGAAAATAAGGCCGAGCACTTATTTCGGGGTTCAAAAAAATATAAGACAGGTTCTTATTTTTGGGAAAACACGGTATGTGCCTATCGATGGCTGATCTGTCCAAGTGCCAAACTTCTTGAAATGCCTTACAGGTTTTGGACTTGGCTTATTTATTATTTATTTATTTGTTTCCATTTCTATACCGCCCTTCTCCAATAGGACTCAGGGCGGTGAACAGCCAAAGTAAAAAACAGAACATACAAAATTTAAAAACAGCTTAAAATAATTAAATATTTTGGCCATAAATTCAAACAATCCAATTTAAAATCAATTTAAAATTTAACTCAAGCCATCTAGGATGGTCATCTTTTCCCAACAGAAACTGTGGTTAAAACTATCCGTAGGTTGTAAAAATAAAGAACTTTTCGTCATGTCTTCTGACTGCTTTTTTAATGTTTTGATTGCTTTGGGGGTTTTGTTTTCCTGTTTGCTCTTTTGGATGTTACACACACACACACACACACACACATGTATATGTAAATGTACATCCACATGACCTGGATGATTGAGAATCTCCACAGACATAAATACACAGAAATAGGTTTGTCGTATCGTGTGAATGCTGTCCAGGCAGCCCTTTACAGTCACCATGATGTTTTTGCTGGCTTGAGAGAGGCAGGAGGTCCGATGGCCTCCCCAACTCAGACCGAGAGTTAAAACGCATTTCACTAGTCCTCGACTTATGACCATTTGCTTAATGACCAATGAAAGTGATGATAAGACTTGAAAAAAGTTTCTGTATTTAGGGCCCATCCTCAAAGTTACAACTGCCGCACCAACCCCCCCCCCAAAATTTTGGGGGGGGGGGATATTCTGGTTGTTTGGCGGCTGAGCCCCACTCACGACTGGTTGTAGCACGAGACAGCCACACAATTTGTGTTTTGTGACCTTTTTTGCCAAGTTCCAAAAAAAAAAAAGACAACTAGAGAAACTGGATTAAGACTTATGACTGCACGATTTGCTTAGCGACCACTTGATTCCCTAAGCAGGCATCCTAAGTACAGTTGTAATATCGAGTCCGGACTGGATTTAAGGACTACAGTGCCTTACCATCAAAATTCCTGCCTGAGTTGTGCTTGTAAAAATTGTGGGCTAGTTGAGTGGCCTAGCCAATTCAGGAAATGAGGCAAAACTGCAAGGGGGGGGGCATTAAAAGGCCTCGGGGGGGGGGGGGGAAGGGGGGGGGGGGGGGAGCTCTGCGGTGGAAAACCCAAGTGCTTCTGAGGACCGAAAGAAGAAATGTTGCTGGCAAGAGGAAAAGACACACAGAGAGCAAAGCCAAGAGGTAGAAGTTTATTGCAAAGCTGGTACCACGCAGGCTGGGACAGGGAGACTGAAGGAGGAAGGGGCATTTGGCCCAAGTCCGTGCAGGGGCAGGGGTGGCAGAAGCGGAGGGCGGAGGGAAAAGAGCCATCAGCCTAGAATCCCCACGTGGCCACCAGCTAAGTCCATCCTCCCTTGAGGGAGGTTGACCCTCACCTGACTCCTAGCAGCTACTGACCGTTAGTGGAGAAGATTGCTGGGCATTAGCCACAAATAGGTTTACGTGGACCTTTACGTCTTTCTGGCCTGACCAGATGGGAATCAGAGGAGAGAGGGAGGGAGGAAGGAAATGGGAATAAGAAGGGAAGGGAAGGGAAGGAGGGAGGGAGGGAGGAAGGAAAAGAAGGAAGGAAGGAAATGGGAATGAGAGGGAGGGAGGAAATGGGAAGGAGGATGGAAGGGAAGGAGGGAGGAAATGAGGGAGGGAGGGAAGGGAATGAGAGGAGGGAGGGAGGAAGGAAGGAAATGGGAATGGGACAATAAAGGCTGCATTTGAGCCTTGCTGGTACAGTGGTCTAAGCACCCTGTTATTAAGACCAGCTGC